AGCAAATTCAGGAAAATTGAAATAATACCAAACTTTTTCTCAGACCACAAGGCCTTGAAACTCGAAATCAACCTCAAAGAGAAACTTCAAAAACTTGCAAACTCATGGAGACTGAACAGTAGACTATTAAACAATGAATGGGCCAATAATGACATAAGAGAAGAAATCAAAACATTTCTGGAAACAAATGAAAATGAACAGACAACAGTCCAAAACCTATGGGACACAGCAAAGGCAGTCCTGAGAGGGAAGTTCATAGCAATACAGGCTTACCTAAAAAAGATAGAAACATTTCAAATAAAAGACCTAACACTACAACTTCAAGAACTGCAGAAACAACAACAAATAAATCCAGAGCAAGTAGAAGGAAGGAAATAGTCAAGATTAGAGCAGAACTGAATGACATAGAGACAAAAAGAACAATTCAGAGGATCAACCAATCCAGAGGCTGGTTCTTTGAAAAGATAAATAAAATTGACAAGCCTGTAAGCAGACTCCTCAAGAAAAAAAGGGAGAGGATCCAAATGAATAATATCAGAAATGAAAGAGGAGAAATAACAACTGATAACCACAGAAATACAAAGGATTGTCAGAAACTACTATGAACAATTATATGCCAAGGAATTTGAAAACCTTGATGAAATGGACAAATTTTTAGAAAAGTATAATCTTCCAACACTGAAGGAGGAAGAAACAGAAAGCTTGAACAGACCGATAACAGCTGGGGAAATTGAAGCTGTAATCAAGAAACTCCCAGCACACAAAAGCCCAGGGCCGCATGGTTTCACAGGAGAATTTTACAAAACATTTAAGGAAGAGCTAACCCCTGTCCTTCTCAGACTATTCCAAAACATCCAAGAGGAGGGAAGACTCCCAGACTGTTTTTATGAGGCCAGCATCACCCTGATCCCAAAACCAGATAAAGACCCTACAAAGAAAGAAAACTACAGGCCAACTTCGCCGATGAACATAGATGCTAAAATCCTCCACAAAATATTGGCAAACCCCATCCAGCAATACATTCAAAAGATTATCCACCATAATCAAGTGGGATTCATCCCAGGCATGCAGGGATGGTTCAATATACGCAAGGCAATAAACGTAATACATCACATAAATGAAAGAAAAGACAAAAACCACATGATCATCTCGATAGACGCAGAAAAAGCATTCGATAAGGTACAGCACCCATTTATGATCAAAACACTCAGCAAAATGGGAATAAATGGGGCATTCCTCAACGTAATAAAGGCCATATATGAAAAACCTACAGCCAACATCATACTCAACGGGCAAAAACTGAAAGCTTTCCCACTAAGATCGGGAACACGACAAGGATGTCCGCTCTCACTGCTTCTTTTCAACATCGTATTGGAAGTCCTAGCCACAGTGGTCAGACAAGAAAAGAGATAAAAGGCATCCAAATAGGAAAGGAGGAAGTAAAGCTATCATTGTTTGCAGATGACATGATAGTGTACATTGAGAACCCTGTAGACTCCACCAAAAAACTCCTCAACCTAATAAGGGAATTTGCCAAAACAGCAGGATACAAAGTCAATATTCATAAATCAAAGGCATTTTTGTACACCAGCAATGAAATAGAAGAAGAATCAGAAAAAAAATACCATTCGATATAGCAACAAGAAAAATAAAGTACTTAGGAATAAATTTAACCAAAGAGGTAAAAGACCTGTACGCAGAAAACTATACAACTTTGAAGAAAGAAATTAAGGAAGAAACACATAAATGGAAGCATATACCGTGTTCATGGATTGGAAGAATTAATATCATCAAAATGTCCATACTACCCAAAGCAATTTAGAGATTCAACGCAATCCCTATTAAGATACCAATGACGTATTTCACAGAAATAGAACAGACATTTCAAAAATTTCTATGGACCCATGAACGACCCCGAACAGCCGCAGTAATTTTGAGAAAGAAACACAAAGTAGGAGGGATCGCAATACCGGACATCAAACTCTACTACAAAGCCACTATACTCAAAACAGTCTGGTACTGGCACAAGAGCACACCCATAGACCAGTGGAACAGAATAGAAAGCCCAGAAATAAGCCCAGGTCTCTATGGGCATCTAATGTTTGACAAACGGGGCAGAAGCATAAAATGGAGCCATAATAGCCTCTTCAACAAATGGTATTGGGAGAGCTGGACAGCTACATGCAAAAAATTGAAATTGGATCATCAGCTGACACCATACACAAAAATAAACTCAAGATGGATAAAGGACTTAAATATAAGTTGCAACATCATCAAAGTCCTAGAGGAGAACATGGGCAGGAAACTCTCAGATATCCCACGCAGCAATTTTTTCACTGATATGTCTCCTAAAGCAAGGGACATAAAGGAAGGAATAAACAAGTGGGACCTCATCAAAATAAGCTGCTGCACGGCTAAAGAAAACATCAGCAAAATGAAAAGGGAGCCAACTCTATGGGAAAATATATTCGCTAATGATACATCAGATAGAGGTTTGATCTCCAAGATATATAAAGAACCCACTCGACTCCACTCCAAGAAGACAAATGATCCAATCACAAAATGGGCAAAGGACCTGGGCAGATGCTTTTCCAAGGAGGAGATACAGAGGGCCCATATTTCAAAGGATGCCTGGCATCACTAGCCATCAGAGAAATGCAGATCAAAACCACCATGAGGTACCACCTCACACCGGTCAGAATGGCCATCATAAGCAGATCAACAAACAAGAGGTGCTGGCGAGGCTGTGGAGAAAAGGGAACAGTAGTACACTGTTGGTGGGAATGCAGACTGGTGCAGATGTTGTGGAAAACAGTGTGGAATTTCCTCAAAAAGCTGAAAATGGAACTGCCTTTTGATCCAGTGATTCCCCTGCTGGGACTATACCCTAAGAATCCCAAAACGCCAATTCAGAAGAACCTGTGCACCCCAATGTTCATAGTTGCACAATTTATAGTAGGCAAGTGTTGGAAGCAACCTAAATGCCCTTCAGTAGATGATTGGATCAAAAAACTATGGTACATTTACACAACGGAATACTACGCAGCATAAAGAAAAAAAAAGAACTACTACAGTTTGCGATAGCATGGATGGAAGTAGAGAGCATTATGCTAAGCGAAATAAGCCAGGGGGCGAAAGACAAATACCATATGATCTCACCTGTAAGTGGAACCTAACCAACCAAACAAAGATGCAAGGAAAATTAGACTAGCAACACTGGAAAAAAAAAAACATCAACAAAGAAAACCATCAGAGACAAGATGAAAGTAGGAGGGGTGGGTAGGGAAATAGAAAGGTAGGGTCAAGTCAAGGAACATATAGCAAGGGGTCATGGACAATCCTAGAGTGGGGAAGGTTTGAAGGAGGGAGAATGGGGAGGGTGGCCAGGGAAAATTGTGAGGGGTAGGCAGAGACAAATGTATTTGAAAAAATAAATTTAAAAAAAAATGGAAGGGTAGATAAAATGCTTCCCAAAGAAGGTCAAATTAGAGTTCATCATCACCAAGCCCTTACTATATAAAATGTAAAAGGGATAATGTAAAAAGATCAAAACAATGAACAGTAAAATGACAACAAACTCAAAGCTATCAACAAATGAACCTTAAGAAAAAATAAAAACAAAAGCTAACGAAGCAAACTAGTAGAACAGGAACAGAATCACAGAAATGGAGATCACAGGTAGAGTTATCGGCGGGGAGGTGGAGGGGTAAGAATGAGGAAAACAGGTACAGGGAATAAGCTCAATTGATAGGCACAAAATAGACAGGGGCAGGTTAAGTACAGGAAATGGAGAAGGTAAATAACTTATATGTACAACTCATGGACATGAGCTAAGTGGGTGGGAGATGCTAGGGGGACGGGGGTGCGGGGAGGAAGAGGTTAAAGGGGAGAAATAAAATGGGACAAATGTAATAGCATAATAAAATATACTTAAAATATCCTTTTTAAAGTATATTAGTAGTTCTTTAAAATATTTTTTTTACCCTGTCCCTCCTGCCACAGTCCCACTTCTTTCATAGGTTTTCCATTTTTTTCCTGTTTGTTTTGACCCGTCACCTTGAAAACTTCCTCTTATGCCTGTGTGTACATATTTATATGGGGCTATGAAGCTGACTAGTAGCGATTGGTTCCTTTGAGGATTTGTTGATGGTGGCATTTCCAAAGCTGTACTGTTTCTTTGGGAAACCTCCAGTGTCAACTAGCATACTCTTCACAGAATAATCTTCTAACCTCCTGGCTGGACACCATATGCTACACTACCACCATTCAGGTAGCCAAGTGAGGGGAAAGGACATTCTGAAATTCTGATTATAAACTTTCATGTTACCGTCTGTATCTGTCAAGGCTCAAGGGGTAACTATAAACGGATATAGAGACCTTCAACAAATACCGTAGGGTTAAGGGAGAGTACACAAGGGAGCCACAAACTCTTATGGGGATCCCCCAGCCCGTGTCTGGGACTCAGATGTGATTGGCAAAGGCATGGCTGCAGCTGTTGTGTAAGTTTGCAAGGTTGCCTGGGTTACAGCTTAGCCAGTCCCCAGGCAAGCAGGAGGTGTCTTTCTTGGGTGCCTTCAGCCTGAGCCTGGCCGCAGGAAGCCACGACTGGGACTGGGAAAATACTGCAATGGGATACTGGTGGGCCAAGGCAGGCAAATCCCTCCAAAAGACAGGTGGGCAGGAAGTACCTCTCCATAAGGCTGGAGGGCAGGCTCACCCCAGGAATCAGGACTTTGGGAGCCCATTTTGTGGCCTGAGTCACAGGGCCAGGGCTATGAGCTCATTATAGGACTATGTACATTGGGGCTGCATGCCAGTGGAGGTCCCCTCTACCAGCCACACACCATTGATAACTGGATGGTAATAACAAGAAGCAAAATGAAGCATACCAGAGGTAAGAAAGGAGAAAAGAAATGCTTACAGTCTAGCTCATTTTAATAGTGTAGGCAACTTTATTAGTTTGCTAAAGCTTCCATAATGAAATACTACAGCCAAGATGGCATAAATGTATGGGCTCACGGTTCGGGGGGCTAGAAGTCCAAAATTAGGGTGTTGTCAGGGTTGGTTCCTTCTGAGGGTTGAGAGAGGAGGATTGGGCCTCTCTTCATGGCTTGTAGATGAGCTTCTCCCTCTGCCTCTTCACATCTCCTGTACGTGTTCAAATCTTTTATGAGGATGTTATACTGGTTTAGGGCCACCCTGATGACCAACTTTATCATCTCTGAAAAGACCCTATCTCCAAGTAAGGTCCTGGGGGTTAGGGCTTTTTAAGATACAAAGTTCGGAGGGACACAACTCAACCTACAGTAGCAATGAAGGGTGAATTTGGAGGTGAGGCAATGAATTGGTTAACTGGCATACTTACTGCTTTCAATCTTGTCCCACCCTCACTGTTTCTGGTGTTTTCCAGCCTATGGACCCTCTACCTTGCCCATTCTAGAGAAGAGACACAGGCTTATGCCAGGATGTTTGAGAAGCAACTGCCAGGCTGTGCAGTCTTGAAGAGATTGTCTGGGGCTTGAATTGAGCATCCTAAGTAGACTGTGAAGTAATCCTCTTTCAACCCCTTCCACTCTAACTTCCAGAGGTATCTGACGTCACATTCATGATTAGGGGATTCTATGGGGGCATCCTGGATTGCTTCTTGGCACTCCCTGCTGACTTAGGCATCAGATTTCTGGGTTCTGCTAAGTTTTGCTCTTTCTTCCAAAACGTCATTACTGTTGTCTCTTGTGTTGTGATGTTATGCTTTATAAATTATTAAATAAACCCCTTGTTAAATTGCAAAGGTAATGCAGAAAAGGCCCCTTATACTTCTTACCCAGTTTCTTCTAAATCTAACATATCACCACTGGCCCCTTGCTGAAACTAAGACATTCACTAGTACATTACTATTAACAGACTTCACTTTTTCCACCAATGTCTTACTGTTGCAGATTCCACATTGGATGTTTTGTCACCTGACTTGTGACTGTCTTTTCTTGTTTTTCACAACCTGACACTTTGGGAGAGTACTGGTCAGGTATTTTGCACAATGTACCTGTTTGGTTTGTTGTTTTCCTTATGATTAGACTGCGAAATGAGTTTTAGAGAATACAGTGGTGAAATGCCCTTTATCACATATTTGAGGCACAAGATATGCACATGCATCACTGGTGATATTAATCTTTATCACTTAGGTACTAAGTTTAGTGCTGGCTCTCTTCTGTAAGGCAAGGCTATTGGTTAAAGCTGTTGTAGATTTGCTGATGGTAATAGAGGTAAAATTCTACCCCCACACCATTATCATCAGAATATCAATGATGAAAGACAAAGCAGCTGAGGGCAGTTGGCCTAATTTTTTGAAGATTTTTTTAGGGAGGGGAAGAAACATCAATGTGAGAAACATTGAAGAATTGCCTCTTTGGGCTAGTTGTCTTAATTTAGTCATGACCCTTTGCCCAAAAACGTTGAAGGGGATAATCCCCAGGAGTTCCTTGCAACATAGTAAATGTAGACTATAACATTCCCCAAGTCCTGCCCCTAAGTAATTATGTCCTTTTAGTCAGGTAACCATATATTTAAGGGGAATAACCAGATATTTTCAGGGCCACTGGACAGGGGGTCTAAGCTGACATTGATATCCAGAGATCTGAAGCATCATTATGGCAGCAGGATGTGGGGGTGTAGTAATAAATGGAGTGCTGACCAAATTATAAATGTATGTAGTAAGTGCTCACATGAGGAGTTATCCTCTCTGTAGACTCTTCTGGTGGTCATTTCTGTTTCCATATGTGTAACTAGACTGACATACTTAGTAATGATTCCCCAAAGCCATCTTTAGCCTGTGGGATGCAGGCTGTGAAGAAGCCATACAGAAGCCTCTGCAACTGCTATGCAACCCTCTTTCTCACACTGCCAGTCAAGAATGAATGTGCTTATCAGGCTACAAGAGGGCCAAATGCAGGTCAAAGTCACAGGCAGCAGACAACACACATATACAGTAGTGTGGACATCTGGTTATCCAACAGAATGCCACAGTGACACAGTTTAATGTAGAGCTGTAGGAGCCGGAAGTGGCTGGCACACTGGAGGCCCTGGTAATGTAGAGTCTGGGGGATAAACTTGGAGACTCAAACTCCAGAAAAGAAAAAAAAAATTACTTGGGGGAATCACAGAGTACACTTAAAATAACCAAATTAAAACAAAAACAAGGGACAAAATGCACAGCTAACTGGTCACCATTGGAAAACAGTGAAGCAACTAATTTTGAAACTCATGAATAAAAGGAAAAAAAAACCAGGCATTTATCTTATTTTTCCTTTGTAAGCTAAGCCACTAAGCAGCCAAATAGTGGATGAGGGCAAGTTTCTCAACTGCAGCTACCAAAGAATGATAGAATTGAAATACTGCCATTCTTTCACCTTTAATAAATTGATGAATTAGGTTTTCTAGAACAGCGGTGGCTAAATCCCATTATACAACTAGACATTATGTGCCACCTGATGGAAGAACACAACCACCTGTGAGGTAATACTGGCCCTCCTCCAACAAAACCAAACAAAAATATGAATCTGATTAAACCTGTGAATCCAAAAACAAAGGAAACACCATAAAGAGAAAGAATGGTGAATGATATCAAGGGAAGGCAATCAGCAAAATCTAGGAAACTGCAAGATAACTAACCTTATTTTCTTCATAAATTAATTACAGGGGAAAAAAGTAAAAAATAGAGGGAACTCTACTGTAATATATGCATTTTAATTGGATCATAATTCAAACATTGTTTACAAAAATTGAAATTTTGTTTAGGAAATTATTTATGGATAAAAGCATATGATATCTGAAATTGTTCCAAAATAATACGGAGGGTGTGTGCACAGGAACGGGGTTACGAGGGAAACAAGATTAGCCATGAGTTGATAATTGTTGAAACTGAGTGACAGGTACGTGGAACTTCATTATTTATTGTCTGCTTTCAGATATAATTAAAAATTTCCATAATAATTAATTTTAAAAGATAAAAAACAAAACAACCCAATCATTAGAATTTAGGAAGTTTCTCTTTAAGCTTTCTCCAGCTAGATCTGAATGACCATTGGGAAAGTACTAAAAAACAAACTTCAACACTTCTTAGTTAATAAATCAGGTTTAGATGAACAAGATCAGGTAAATGACTGATAATTCATTTCTAGCTCTCAATCCTTCAGCCTACATATTTAATACCGGATGTCCAGAGAATATGAGTTACATTAGGAAACAAAACATACATGGAAATGATATATTGGTCACTATTCTGTCCAGACAAAAGGCCACTTAGTATACAAATCAACCTAATACTTTATCAAGTTAGTTTTTAAAAAGTCATTACATTTCAAAAAAATTCCCTCTTTATTTTAACATAAAACACATTTACAGCATGCAGGTTAAAATAAAACTTAAAATTATATGGTGTCTTCCCAAACCAATTATCTTTGAATGTATTTCCAAGCACTGAAAATAAAACAACATGTTCCACAGGTAGACTCAGTCTTCTATCACCTCATGTCAAATTGAATTATGCATACTAGTTTTCTTAAGTTAGGCAAATAATTTAATTGACCATCATGAATAAATATTACTTTTATTTTACTAAGTTTCTCTTCTGAACCATTTATCAATACCATTTAGAGGAAAATTAATATATTCATTCAAAAAAACACTGCAAATTGAAATAAGTGTCAATGTTCTAGATGATCAGAAATTTTCATTTATAAGAGTTAATGCAATGTTTAATAACCTATAGCAAAAAAAGCAGTTCACTGAAAAACAAATTTATGAAATTCTTTGTACACTTCGTGAAAGTTTGAAATTATAAATAGAAAAAAATTAAGATATTTTTAAAAACCTAATATTGTTATATATCCTGAACCACATGCTAGTTACAATTCATTGTTACACAGCACCAATACCCGTGATACATCTAACAAGAACTACCATATTCAGACAAGAGAAAATAAAATTCTGCTTCATTTATGGATATTGCCAAAGAAACAAGTTTTCATTTGAAAACAAAATATGAATGTTTATGTGAATGCAGTCATATTTCTCAATTTAGAAAATACCATAATAAATAATAAGTTGTAGCACTTTTTTAAAAAATTTAAGTCATCTGAATTACTTTAATCTTGCTGTGCCGAGATTTTGTCTAAATTTTTGGAGTGTTTATTCTGATCAATCCTAAAGGCAACACAATCATTTTAAAGGCTGTAGACTACAACAGCAAAGAGTTTTGACTGTTAAAAAAATAAACAAATTTATCTTTTAAATCAAAAATTATATAAAAGTGGAAATTACAATAGTTAAGGAAATAGAAAAATAACCCAATTATAATTTGAGTCTTCTGACTATGGCTCCAAATTTATTACAAATATCTGTGTATAAAACTTCTTCAAAAAGTTAATTCTGCCAGTCAGATCCTAACACAGAACTTTCAAAGTTTCTCTACTGACTGAATACCCTTATATCCCCATTCTCTGCAAATTTCTAACATGGTTGCAGCTATCACCCTATTGACGAAGCATACTGAAATCTCTTTCCCTATTACTTTTACAGCTTTCAAAAACAAAGTGTTGACTTTGTTTAATCAGCTGAGGAAGAAGTGGAAAAAACAGGTACACTTGGTACTAATTATATAATTATGGATTATAACCAAAAAAATAATTTGAGGATTTTTAATGACTTGCAAACAACTATTTCTAGGCTAAACAAGTAATAAATTATAGTGTACTACTTAGTGTAGCAGGTTAAAAATACATCAAGGATTTTTTACCAAATTTTACCTACATATTTATAAGTCACCATATATTTGTCCAGTTTTTCCACTTTTTTGTTTCCATAGGCTATAAATTTAGATCAACCAATACAGTACTAACAATATAAAATTATGTTTAATCCTATAATATCTTAATTCATTTCACTATATTAAATAGACAAATTAATATGTGTTCAATTCTTACAATAACTAGCAGGCTCACCAGAATGAAGCAGGGTATTTTTATTCCACCAAGCTATGTTGATTATAGAAGCGAGAAAAAGGGAAATCCAATTCCTTTCCAAACTCTGTACACTGAGATTTGTTTTTGATACTGTAAAATACATCTACTCAAGAAAATTCAACAATAGGTGTTTCATAAGGTAACAATTAAGTAGCCTTGCTCAATCTCAAGTGCCTACAGTTTTAAGGTTTCAGTGCTCAAATTAGTTTTCAGAAGCAAACAACAGAGAAGATATAAATAATTTTTACTCTGAAATCATTTCAAGGAATTTTAAAGTACAGTACTGACCTGATCTGTATTTTGGGCATGTAGTGTGTAAGTGGTAAAATATAACCTAAATGTTTCATTTCCCCTAAAATAAGGAAGACACTTTAAAAATAAAAACAAGAAGCAGTAGCAGCTAGGTAATTTGAGAATAAAAAATAAACACACACTAAAATAACAAGTACAAAAAGCACAATCCTCCTATATGGTACAGTCAGCTTGGCACAGTGAAGACTAAATTTAAGACACAAAAGACAAACTGTGTAATAAATAGGACCACAGTTGTAAACTGTCATTTTTCCCTCTTATGATGCCAAAATTGCACTCTAGTTGTGTTGGGAAGCAGCAGAGTTTACAAGAAAGTGGGCAGGAAACAGCTGTACAGGCCAGATATAATTTATAGATTTAAAAAAGTTATAATTCTACAATTCTCCGGGGTAAAGGACTCTGCTTGATATTATGTCATCTTCATACTTCAATTACTGTCAACACCTGAAAATGGAAGAAAGCATACAGAAAATATTTTTATTTGCATAAAAATCTGTGTTCGAGATCATCATGAAAGGAATAAAGTAAATAAAATACACCAATATTTTAAAAACATTCTGGCCAATAGCTTGGATCACTATGGAACATTAAACGATTTTATTTTTTCTCCTTTAATTTACTTCCTAAGTAGAGCCATTTATGAGTAGTACAATGTTTAAAAAGAGGTCAGCCCTTCGTTTGTTTTTATTCTTCCGAAGAGAGCCTATGAGTAAGCTGACATATGAATTATATTTTTTAAGAAAAGAAGATGGAAAGCAGTAGACAGTGTCTGTAACATTCTTAAAGCTAAGGATGATTAACTAGCAATGTTATATACATGGTAGCTATTAAAAAAAAAAGAGGGGAGGAAATAGGGTTCAAGAGATAGGGATACAGAAGAGGTATATACAGTAGGAAACTGACAGGAAAAGAAACAAACAATTTTAGTACTTGTTACCTGGAGGAATCCTTGTATTGAACTACTTACCTGTGTTTACAAAAACACAACTTTCAAAGTACCGTTATGTTGCCATGTATGATGAGCACTTTTTTTGCCCAGATTTTTAAGGGAAAAAAGGATGCACATTATACATGGGTAGTACTTGAAATACATTATGTCTGTTCTTGTGTTTTGTAATTATTTGTTACATAAAATTTCTTAAACCATAACATGTCCAAAAATAAATGCTAAAATTCCTTTATAATACAAAAAACAAGTACCTAAATATAAATAAATAAATAATTGAATTAAAAAATTAAAATGCAGGAATTTTTTTTCTGAAAGTCTGGGCCAAACACATGGGCGAGCGTTGTATATGGGAGTGCATTATAGATAGCAAAATATGGTATTATGTAAGCTAGAAGATCAGCCATGTACAACTATGTACTAAAGGTATCAATATTGCCACTGTTCCCAACAATAAACTCAGTGTTTTGAAATGTTTTTCTTGATAATTAAATGACTAATTTCAAAATTTCTCTACAAAGTTTTAAATTTTTCAGTAATTTATCACTTAAGTAGACTGTATGTTCCTCAATGATGGTTTAAGACTGACTGATTTAAGAATTAAAAAAAAAATAAGTACTACCGCCTTTGGACCAGCAATGAGATAAACCCGTAAATTTTATACTTTTATAATTACTTCAGGTCTTCAAAACCTAAGTTAGCAAGGTTAGCTATCTCCTTCAAGTGCTAAACTGCTGTATTATACTAGGATCAGCATTCTACTTTTAAGCTAAAACCTAGCTGTATTAACAAAGACCATGATCTATCTTCTCTACAAATGAGATATAAATCCAAGGTTTAATCTGAGCACAATATCCAAAAAGGATAATTTTTGATCTATATTTATGCTTTAAAAAGTCCCTTGCCCATTTCCCACTTCCAGAAAAGGACCTGCTCTGTACTAGGTAATGACATTTTAATATGTTTAATTCTTAAGAATGTCTTCCACTTTATTAAGGGGCTCAAAAGTAAACACAGAAGGTCCTCCAGCAATATCATTTTGTGCCAACATTGTTTCATTATAACATTGATGAGAAGGTAAGGAACTTAACACTTTTTATATTAGTCAGTGTTAAAACTGGTTTCACTGTTTTTGCTTAAAGTCACAGAACCTGTTGAGGATATTCAGTGAAAACTTACTGTACTCCAAAGGGGTAAAACATAGGCCACTCCTAACTGGCAGGAAAACTGGCTAATGTTGTGTCCACTAAGATAACACAGTATTATACACATATTACCTACCATGTAGTCTTGTTGAAAGTGCTTGTGCTGAGCCCTGGCTGGTGTGGCTCAGTGGACTGAGTGCCGGCCTGTGAACCCCTGTGAACCAAGGGTTTGCCATTCCCAGTCAGCACACAAGTCTGGGTTGCAGGTGGGCCCCCAGTGGGGGTTGCACGAGAGGCAGCCACATACTGATGTTTCTCTCCCTCTCTTTCTCCCTCCCCTCCCTTCTAAAAATAAATAAATAAAAAAAATATTTTTAAAAAAGTGCTGAATCTAATAAATGCTTTCAATATGCAAGGAATAGAGGAACAAAGCAGTTACACATAAAAACAATCAAACACATTCAGAAGGTGGCATGTGCCAAAAATAACCAGCCTAGTCTCTTCACTAAATCAATGTTATTTAAAAAGGGGGTAATTCCAGACTATAAGAGACTTAAGGGACATAACCAAATACAAACAGTAACCCTGAACTGTACCTTAGTTTAAGCCAGTGGTTTTCAAAAAGGATGCCAAAGGAATTTTTAAAATGTGCACTACTGGACTATTTAGTCAGGGGCACTGATCTCTTTTCCCTTAGATTGTCAAATAAAAAATGACAACTAACACAACAATGGCTGTCTGGTGTGAATGAATCAAAATTATATCTATTTTTCTGTGAGATTGGCAAAAATAATATTTTTTGGGATGCTGCAGAATTTTAGTAATTAGTTTATGTGCACCACGAGATTAAAAGAGTAAAAAAATTGCTGGTTTACACAATCCAGTGCTAAAGAACTTTAAAAATAGAGAAATCTGAATACAGATTGGTATTAGATAATATTAAAAATATTTTCAGCTGTTAGTTAACAGTGTTTTGTTGATAATGTTATTGTAACTATACAGAAAAATGTTATGTTTTAGAGATACATTCAACAGGTTATGAACGCATAATTTATTTTTATGCTAAAGAATTTTAAAAGGAGTCAAAATTAAAAATAAATTATTAAAAAAGTAATTTGCTGAAATTCATGAAAGTAGAAAAGTCAGGACTCAAACTCAGAACTTCATCACTTTATCACTATCTTTGAAATCCTATATTCTGTAGATAAAAAATTATTATTAAATTGTTTGTAATGTGAATCCTTCAGAATATTGCTTAATTTTCCATTGAAATTGGGAGGCAATATTATGCAAAATATCAAAATAAAAACAAAGATTAGAATAAAGTGATTTTAGTATTTGTGAGGGGCAAGTTAAGCATCATAATTATCTAGGATTTTTAGTTTCCAAAACATCTACACATCTGGGACTTCTTAAAGAATTAAAATCTGAGTTCCTGCCATATGATGAAATATCATGCAGCTATGTAACTAATGAATCAGGTGGTAGAAAAAAAATGTTCAGAATATATTACTAAGATAAAGAGGCAGGCTACAAAGTAGCATATCTAGTATACGGCTAGCGTGTGACTGGAATATTTATCAATAGTTTAAACTTTTTAATTTAAGACATATAAATAAAGCTCTTCTATACACATAACATATTGGGTGGTTTTTCTAGATGATATTTTTTCTCTTCTACTTTATAATGGTTTTTAATCCTCTATAAGGAACAGATATTACTTATATTATTTAAAAATAAGTAAGTAACTATTAAGAACTCATATATCTGTTACGGAAAAAAATCACTCCGTACAGGTAATTTGAAAAGGACAGAGAAGTAAATCATAGAAAAGAAAATGTAAATGGGCTGATAAATACATGAAAAACATCCAACTTCATTAATAAACCAATGAAATGCTCATGTTGGCCTATTACATCAGAAGCTTAAAAACTATTACTAGTCAATACTGGCGAAGATTCAGCAAAATGAACAGTATCCTTGGCTAATATGTAATTTTGCACTATGTTTCAAAAGCCTTAAAAATGTTCACATTTTCTTGCAATTCCACTTTTGGGAGTCTTTGAAAATAATTTAAAAGGGTGTAAAAAGATTTCCATACTTCAAATTTCATGTGATAGTTCAATTTTGGAAAATTTTAAGTTTGGAAAAAATTAATATACTTAATTACATGTCCAGTAAAAGGGAATATAGTTATAAATCACGGTATATCTACAAGACAGAACAGGAGTATTTTTTTTAAATGACCCAATAATAGCTCTAGCTGGTACGGCTCAGTGGACTGAGCACTGGCCTGTGAACCCAAAGGTCCCAGGGTTGATTCCCGGTCAGGGTGCACGCATGGGTTGCAGTCCAGGCAGCTGATTGATGTTTCTCTCACACATTGATATTTCTATCCTTCTCTTTCTCTCTCTGTTCCCCTCTCTCTAAAAATAAATAAATAAAAATCTGAAAATAAAAAAACGGCCCTATGTTAAGAACACAAATTTGAATATATAGTATTGAAGATATCTAGGTGAATTATGAAAAAGACAAGAAGAAATTATGCCAAGGTATTTTAAAAATTACATTATAATTATCAATGACACTAAGAATCCAAAAAAGTATTTTAACAATAAATGGTTGAACATTTCCATTTATAGCTATAATTTCAAAGCCAGATATAAACTACAAACCTGTAGATAATGTGTTAACGCTTACACTTGTTTGCCTCCTCCACCTCGTACTGCCACTGGTTGGCTGTTCTGAATAAATGCGCCTCCTCCACGAATTGCACTTGGATGAGTTGGAGAAGCTGCTGGATGTTGCCCGGGACGAATAGGTTTAGCTAATACAAAAATCAGAAACTGGCTTTAGAATAAATCTTAACCTATGACTGTAACAACCTTTTAAGTCTCTTTTCTTTATTTACAACAAATTGTTAAGTGTTTTTCTTTCCTCTCCGCCTTTTTGTTGCTCATTCCACTCCTCTTTCTTTTCTTTCCAGTTACATACTTTTTTCTCTAGGACCTACACAATCCTTAGTCTCTTAGATACTTTATTCCTGTATCAATGATTATTCTGAAGCATGAAATATTCTGAAGCAATGAAGTATTGCTGATAACTTACTTTCTTGCAATTTGTTTTGTTTTAATAACATTGCTCAATATAATTTATCTCCTACCCTGACCATTCTAGCTCGTCTAGTTCTCATCTTCTTGTCCTATTAATCTGTTTATTCTTCAACTTTGTGTTGTTCTCCCAATAACGCCACTCTCTGGCAAGTTAGAAAATAAAAATAGATAAATACCAGCATTACAACACATAATTAATGAATCAGATTGTATTTCCAAGGAAATGAAAACATTCTAACTAAGTAACGTTTAAAGATTTTCATATGGTCTACTAACCAATTTGTGCAGAATGTCCTCTTCTGGCCATATTCTTTGACCTGACTGCTTCCTTTATACGATCTACTTCTTGCTGATAGCGTTTGCGATCGCGAGATGCATTTTCTTTGGCTTCTTTCAGTGCTGACTCCAGAGCTTTCACTCTCTCAGCTGTAGCTCTTAGCCGCTTTTCCAGCTTAGGAAGTTCACAGCGAAGATCTGCATTATCACGCACCAACTAAAGATACATAAAGAGAATTAGGATTCTAGCTTTAACAAGATGATTTGAGAAAGTATGCACCATTCATAATTTGTCTTTAGAAAAATAAAATTACATTTTATATTAAGGTTTGCTAGTTAGCTAACTTAATTTAGGCAACAAGCAAGAAATACATATATATCTATACACATATATTTCTTACAAAGATATAGTTTCATTTAGATTTTTTGGGGGATGGGGTGTTGTTCTTTCCCACTACTTGGTAATGACAGTAAGTTGGGACACAGTACTAGATTTCTCACTGAGATAGTAATCTGATGGAAGTGAATATCCTTTCAGATCCACAAATACACAGTTTGGCAAAGCCATTAATAATGGTGTTGAAGCAAAAGGGCTAAAATTTCTTTAACCTTATGCTAGTGTAAACATCTAGTGTAAACATCAGGTTTACAACGGCAACAATATAGAATTTAGTGCACTAAAAATATTTTTTGTAATTAAATAATTTATAAAGCCATAATTAAAAATAAGACATGGTAAGCATTACTTTTTTAAAAATATGACCTGCCTCAGAATGGCCATCATAAACGGATCAACAAACAACAGCTGCTGGCGAGGCTGGGGAGAAAAGAGAACCCTAGTCCACTGTTGGTGGGAATGCAGACTGGTGCAGCCATTGTGGAAAGCAGTGTGGAATTTCCTCAAAAAGCTGAAAATGGAAGTGCCTTTTGATCCAGTGATTCCCTTGCTGGGACTATACCCTAAGAACACCAAAACACCAATACAAAAGAACCTATGCACCCCAATGTTCATAGCAGCACAATTTACAATAGCCAAGTGTTGGAAGCAACCTCAGTGCCCATCAGTAGATTATTGGATCAAAAAATTACGGTACATATACACAATGGAATACTACGCAGCAGAAAGAAAAAAGAACTACTAAACTTCGCGACAGCATGGATGGAACTGGAGAGCATTATGCTAAGCGAAATAAGCCAGGGGGCGAAAGACAAATACCATATGATCTCACCTATAAGTGGAACCTAACCAACAATACAAAGATGCAAGGAAAATAAGACCAGCAATACTGAAAGGAAAAGAAACCAACGAGACAAGAGGGAAGGGGGGGGGGGGGCGGGGACAAGGAAAGGAAGGGGAATGTCAAGGAACATATAGCAAGGACTCATGGACAAAACCAAAGGGGAAGAGCTGAGGGAGGGAAGAAGGGAGGGGTCAAGGGAAAGTGGTGGGGGGGAAGCAGAGACAAATGTATTTGAAAAAATAAAATAAAATTTAAAAAGATTAAAAAAAAAAGATAACTTAAAATATGAAAAAAAATAAAATAAAAAAATGAAAATATGACCTGCCTCATAATATTACGTTTCATGCCTGGGGCATTAGGTGTAAAAAACAAAAAAATTGTATTTCTGCTGCAAAGACATATCTACAAGAGATTTTTAAATTATCATGAATAAATTAAGAAAGCTGACAGACCTAGAAACCCAGAAAGGTTTCCACTGGCCTCTTTTGATAAAAGGGCTGTTAAAAATATTAACTTCCCTAAATATTGCTAGTGGTTTTTTTATGTAAGTACCTGAAAAATAATGGAATGGCTCAGGTATATAAAGTCAAAAAAATGCCACTCCTCAATTCTTTTTATTCTTACAATGTTAAGGATATCACAAAATATATTCTGTATTACCTGTTTGTGCACTTTAGTGAGTTGTTCAAGATTGTTTTCAAGGAAGGAGATTTTCTGCTTCTGAGCAGCACTGCCTCCAGTGTCATCGGAGTCGATTTCTGCACTCTAAGAAAAAATAGGTTGACGTATACTGTGAACAAATTTAAAGACAGAAAATACTCTAAACTACATAAAAATTGTATGACAATATAAAATTATTTCACTTATGCATGTAAATAATTAAACACCGTAGGCATCATTTACACAAATACCCACACCTCATTATAGTTTTATTACCTTTTTAACTCTGGTGGCCAGGTCCTGAACAAAGAGCTTCCGCAGGTTGTGTAAAGTCTGAAGTTCTTTTGCCTTGAATGAAGAACAGCAGTATTTTTGGAGTTCAGACTTCAAATTTAGTATGACCAAAAGGGAAAGACCCATTAAACACTCCCCATCTTATTTATTTTCAAGTTTTTCTTACCACTGTCTCTTCCAAACCCTTCAAGTCTTGTCTTGCTTGTTCTCGTCTATCTTGCATAACCCTAAACAGAGGGAAGAATAGACATATTTTCAACTTCGAGTCCATAAAATTCTAGCTTTACTTAAAGCAGAAGTTGAAGCAAATATTTATCTGAAAGAATCAATTTCTAAATTCAAATAAATGAAAGATACTTATTTTTAAAAGTATACTTTGTCTTTAAAGAAATTTTTATAATGCCTTCTAATTCCTTCTAAATCCATTATTAGAAGAAAGTGCTCTTATATAGTAATAAAAGAGATAAAATAAAATTTTGCAGAATCTAAAGAATAAGGAGTGGTTCTTATTTGTATTTTAGAACATGGCACATATAGCATACTGCTTTTATCCAAAATCTGATTAACTGGTATGTACAGAGATTATAAATATTGAAAATTAAAAGAATCTCATATTTTACTTAAAATTATTCTAAATAAATTGTGGCTGAGATTCAGCACAATGTTTATCAAATCAACTCTGAGTAGCCCTGGTGGGGTTACCATTCTAACAACAGCAATTCATTTACAAATTATCTCTTATAAATTCGAGGTATGTATAAACTTATAATCCTGAGTTTTCTATCTGCTCATATTCTAGAAAACTGAGCACTGACTGACTATGCTCTTCGTAAATTAGAAAAAGTAGATGGTGAAAAACCTCTGTTCAAAAGCCAAAACTAAAATAACAATATGCTTTTATGCAAGATCAATTGTGACAAAAATTCAGTTTTTATGAGATCTTGAAGTGAAAATCTCATAAAAGAAATAGCACAGAAATAGGTGGCACAGAAATAGCAAGCAGGTTGTAAAACAGGAATCTGAATCTTGACCATAACTTATATATAAGATCTTGCTTTCACTAAAGTATAAAAATACACTGCAAGTTTTCAGCTATAAATCAAACAAAAGAATAGGGTTTAAAAAACTCTTTACAAGAAGCATCCGATGGATATATCTACTAGTAATGTCTGCAATCCTCTAATTTAGTTTTTTAATTTAAAACTTGAATTAAAAGATTTACTCACGTAAGTTCATGTAGTTTTCTGCTCTTTTCCTGATCTGTAGCTTTCAACTTCTCATGTTCTACTCTCAGACGTTCCTGCTCTAACATCATTTTCTGGTTTTGACTGACAAAAGAAAAAAACCGCCACCACATCAACACCATCATTTTCTGATTGTTGTTACTAAGACTTTTCAAACTCTTAAATTCTATAACCTCACCATTCAAACAACCAGGGCCTCCCGTAATCCTGGCCTATCACAGGGGGAGTTAAGAGGTATTTGCTACATTAAATTGTACAACGTTTTTCCTATTTTGGTTTGAAACCATGTTTAGTCCTATCTATCTTTCATCTCCCCAAATACTTGTCCCTAAATCCATTAGGTTCAGTAATCTCAAACTTTGTCTGCATTTATTTCTTATGCTCCTCTGGTTCCTACTCAAATCATGATTTAGGTGCAGACCTCCAATTACTATAAAGTCAATGCTATTTATGCACATGGTTATGAAAGTGGGAAAAATGTCTTCTTGATAAATGACAAAGACAACTTCTTTTAAAAAAATTAAAGCCTCAATTTCTAATAAAGTTTTTCTCAAGAATTTTTTTAAAAAGAAAGGAAGAAAATGATTTGAAGGAGACTGTGGTTTCTATTTGCAATAATGGCTAAAGTTGTTTTTTTCCCCCTTTTACTGAATAGTTACATCGAAAGATCCCAAAATATCTTCACCAGACTCAGAAGTTATAAATAAAAAAAATTAGTTTTCAATTCAAAAATTTTAATTTCAATAAAAAAAATGCAGGTACATCTAATAAGACCATATTAATCTACCAGTAATCAATTATTTCCTTTTGTCTAGCCAATCTGAGTTAGTTTTTAATATTCAGAAGAAAGAACAGTTATACTCACTCTTGTAGATCAGTAATAAGTTTTTCTTTTGCCTCAACTTCATCTCTCAAGCTACTAATTTGTTTTTGATGAGTTTCTCTGTGGCTTTGGATCTGTTGTTCAACAGCTTGCTAAAATTTTTTTGGGAAAAGGATATTAAGTCAGACTAATGAAGATTAATAATGAATTAAAGCCATAAAAATCCAATTGCATCACACTTGCCTTAACTTCATTTGCAGTCTGAACCTTATTTAAATGCTCCTTTTCCATTTCATGCACTTTCTCTGTTTGTATAGGGAAAGAAAACAAGAGAGGAAATAAATTTACAGATCTTCATAAACCCAGGTTTCCTTAGCAGTTCTTGACTCTGAGCTGCCATGCAATAAATCTTGCTGTTCAAGCTTGACGACATGTTGACTAAGTACACTTATAGCCTTCTGTTGAAATTATGGTTTCCTTTACCTAATCCCAGAACAAACTGGTTAAGGCATGGTAGGGAAACAAGAAAGCTTTCTAAGTTCCTATATCAAAATGTGCATGTGTGTGTATAAACTTTGTATGTATAACTTCATAAATTTGTGGGAAATTAACACAAATTGGCTACTTTCACATTCAAACACAACTTTAAAAATGTTTCAAAGCCATATTAAAACATATTATTTGTTTACTATTTCAAGTTATCCGGATTCCTACTATTCCCTATCAGTGTGAATATAAGTTTAATACAATTACACTAAAGGACAAATTAATATAGACATAACTCAAACAATTAGAAGTTAATACCTTGTGCTCGAAGCTGGACTAGTTCTTCACTGAGGGAATCAACAGATTCTTCCAGCTGCCTTTTCTTTTGTTCCACATTTTGAAGGTATTCAGTCAATGACTTAATTTTGGCTTCGTGCTTTTGGGGAAAATGTACTGATATGAAGTGGGAAAAATCTCACACACACATTTTATTGTGCAAATATTTAAAAATGAGCAAGTTTTATCAATGTATATAAATATGATACACATTAGGATACTAAACGTTCGGGGGTCAAATTTACAATAAAAACAATATAATCAAAGAAATGGTCACCTGTATAGCTTTTAACACTCATAAACGAAGGCAATGAAGGCTGAAAATATGAGATATTCTTATTTTTTTCTCCATATGATATTGCCCTCTTCTGTCTACAATTCCTATCTTAGTGAATGAATAGCATCATCTATTCATCTGCCAAAGCCAGAAAACTGGCAATGCAGTTTTATCCACTCTAGGATTCTTCTAGGTTCTTCAACAGTCACATCTTCCTAGTAAATCTGTATACTTAACCCAGTTAATCATTCATTTTATTATAATTCTGCTAGACTAGGAAAATTGACCAAATTAACCTTTTTATTTTGTTACTAAGAATAACCTATGGAAGTTCATTTTTTCTTATAACTTTTACAATAAATAAAACTTATATGCTATTCAAAAACTGAAGAAACTTTGTTCTTTAATACATACTTGAGAGACACGAAGTTGGCATGCTGCTAACTCCTTTTCATTTTCTTCCATTTTTTTGTTGCTCTCTGTTTGTGTGCTTTCTAACTGTTTGCAGCGTTTTACCATTGTTTTTACTTCCGACTTCATTTTGCTTATGTAGAGCCTTGCCACAGTGAACTCTTCGTCTATCATGCCAGTTCCCTCAGGCTGCTATGAGAAGACAGTAAAATGAAATAAAAAGACAAAAATGTCAAGTGTGTATTTACCCAGTTAGAGTCTAAAATCTTAAAACAAAATTAAATATATTTTGATATTATTCAATATTCACTGAAAGTCTGGAAGTTTTTATTTTATTAAATATTGTTTTAATAAGTGGTGAATAAAAGTTTCATTTTTGCCTTCCTTCCTTTCTTAATGCTAATACATGCCTACAAGGAAAGAAGAATGCACAACTAAGAAACATAAAAACTCCAATGAATCTGTCTCTTTCAATATTTTAATTTCCTCTTCATAGGCCCTTTTCAGTAAATTTATCGTTAATCACGTGTAAACTCCAGCTTAAAACTTAACAAATAAGCCCTGGCTCGTGTGGCACAGTGGATTGAGCACTGGCCTGTGAACCGAAGGGTTACTGGTTCGATTCCCACGCACATGCCTGGGCTGTGGGCCAGGTCCCCAATAAGGGGTGTGGGAGAGGCAAACACACATTAATGTTTCCCTCCCTCTCTTTCTCCCCTGCTTCTTCTAAGTAAGTAAAATCTTAAAACAAAATGAACAACAACAAACTTAACAAGTAAGCCCTGGCTGGGTGGCTCAACTGGCTGGCACATCATCTTGTAGAGCAAAAGGTTGCGGGTTCAATACCCGGTCAGGGTGCATACGGGAAGTAACTGATTGATATTTCTCTCTCTAAAAAATCAGTGAATATACCCTCGGGTGAGGATTAAAAAAAATATATAACTCTTAACAAATAAGGATGTTTAGGTAGCACAGAAAAGATGACTTTTAAGCTCACCAAGAAGGAGTTGTGGTCACTTTACATTTCATAATTTCCATAGGTTTCCCTATAAAACTCCAGCATAATATTCAATGTAAAAATTAAGTGGAGATTGAAATGGAAAACAGAGCTGTCTTTGCTTACAGATGACATGGTTATTAAAGAAACTCAAGAAACTAATAAGCCATTATTACAATATTTCAGAATACAAAGTTAACATACAAAAATCAGTCATTTTCCTATGTACCAGCAATAAACAAGTGAAATTTGAAATTGCCATTTACAGTAGCACCAGTAGGGGGGCGGGGGGAGAGAGGGGGGGGGAGAGAGAGAGAGAGAGAGAAAGACTTAGGTATAAATGTAACATAACATGTATTAAGATCTGTATGAGGAAACTATAAAACTGATGAAATCAAAGAACTAAATAGATGGAGGTATTCCACACTCATGGATAGGAAGATAATACTGTTAAAATATCAGTTCTTCTCAACTTGATCTATGTATTTAATGTAACCTCAATCAAAATCACAGCAAATTATTTTGTGGATATCAAGAAACTGATTCTAAAATTAGTATGGAAAGGCCAAAGACCCTGAATACCTAACACAATACTACAGAAGAGCATAGTCAGAAGACTAACGTTACCCAACTACAAGATTTACTGTAAAGCTACAGTAATCAAAATGATGTGATATTGGCAAAAGATAGGTCACTGGAACAGATATGGCCCAGGAACAGACACATACAAATACAGTCAGCAGATCTCTGACAAAGGGGTGAAAGCAATTCAATGGAGAAAGAAACATTTTTTCAACAAATTTGATGGATCAAGTAGCCATCCCCATGTAAAAGAACAAATTCTGACAGACTCTATATTTTTCAAAAAAATTAACTCCAGATAGATCATAGACCTAAATGTAAATGCAAAACTAAAACACTTCTAGAGGATAACACAGGAGAAAATCTAGGTGACCTTGAGTTTGGAGATGAGTTTTTAAACACAACATCAAAAACAGAATCTGTGAAAGAAAAAACTGGTAAGTTGGACTTTGTTAGGATTTCTGCTTTGCAAAAGACAGTGTTAAGAGAATGAAAAGATAAACCACAGTCTGTGAGAAGTATATGTAAAACACCTATCTAATAAAGAGCTTACCTAAATCCTAACTCTTAAAACTCAGTAAGAAAACAACCCAGTTGCAAATTAAAACAAGGTAACACTACACATCTATCAGAATGGCTCAAAATCAAAAATCTAATGACACCAAATACTGATGAGAATGTGAAGTTACAGGAACTCTCACTCATTGCTGGTTGGGAATGCAAACTGGTACAGCCACTTCAGGAGTTTCTTACGCAGCTAACATAGTCTTAACATACAACCTAATAATCATACTCCTAGGTATTTTTACCCAATTGAGTTGAAAACTTTAGTTCACAGAAAGGGGTGCACATGAATCTTTACAGCAGCTTTAGTAAGGTGCAAGTGCCAAAAACTGAAAGTAACCTAGGTGTTCCTCAATAAATGAATGGATAAACAAAGTGGTATATCCATACCATAAACTATTATTTAGTGATTAAAAAATGAGCTATCAAGCCACAAAAAGACATGAAAGAACCTTAACTGCACACTGCTAAGTAAAAAAAGCCAATATGAAAAGACTACATGCTGTGTGATTCCAACTGCATGAAATTTTTGAAAAGGCAAGACTGCAGAGATCTTTTTAGGTCAGTGGTTGCTACAGGTTCAGGGGAGGGGGATGAATAAAACATAGGGGGTGGCAGGGTGTTAAAATGGTAAAACTATTTTGACATGGTAATGATGAATCTGTATTATGCATTTGTCAAAATCCACAGAACTGTATAGACAAGGAGTGAACCATAATGTAAAAAACACAAAACAAGTGTTAAGTGGAGTTCAGCAGGGTGTAACTGATGTTAACATGAAAAGAATTATATGCAAATGACAAAAATACTGACAATCCATAGATTTATTTTTAAATAACCTATTTGCAAGGCTGACTTATTTTCAAAATGCAAGCTTAAGGGTCAGGGAACCTGTGTTCTTATCATTCTGCCACTAAACATAAGCCCTTTCCACTTTTTATCTTCTCTGTCTTTACTACTTCTAAAAAGAAGTTGCAAATCTACACAGCGACTTCTGAGCAACACCTTTCTAGTATCAGTGATATGAAATGAATACTTCCATCTCCAAAGATTGCCATATAGGTTTAACATCTCCCATTACTGTACCATAAAAAGGACTGGACAAAATGTTCAGACTGATGGTGAAGAGAGATCAAGTCAAGTCACACAGTATTTAATAGTAACACTTTTCCTTTCTTTCAATGAGGTGGTCTGACATTAAGGAATGACACATGAGGAGAAAGATTACAACAATTCTTGTCTTCACCAACAGACTTTGAACAACAAATAATAGAAGGAATGTATGTCCCATACTAAAAACCTTCATTTTACTTCCAATTCTTGTTTAACGTGGCTTCTTAATATGCTCTCACCATAAACCCAAGTATAAATTTCCTCTGTTTGTAATCATAACGAATCTTTACTTAAAAAGAAGTCCAAACAAATACCTAGTGCAACATACAAATCCTTTATGTTATATACATGTTTCTGCAGTTAAGAATCTTTATCTTTTTGGTCTAAGTTTTAAGATCTACTAGGTCACTTTTTTTTTTTTTAAACAACTTGGCTTTTTCTTTCTTGTTCTTTTAAGGATAATAATACTTATTATCCTCAACAGGATATTCTGTTTAAAAAATTCTTTTAAGCATAATACTTAAAAGAATAAAAAAGAAAAAGGCATAAATAAATGTGTGGTCAAATTCTGATAACTGATAACAGGTCCATGGTATTATTGTTTGAAAATTTTCATAATAAAATTTAAAGAAAAAAATTAATTAGTAGTACTCATCTTTTCCTTTTTAAACAGTTTAAGCAACTCTAGTTTATTCATTCATGATTTTACTCTGTAACCTATTCTTCACTGTTGTTCCAATTATATCCTCTCATGTATGGTAATTCATTAACATAATTTCTAAGTGCAGAATCTTAGAAGAACTAAACATGGAGTGCAAAAAAACTGCTACTTACTGGATACTCGTCAACTTGAATACCCCATTCTTTTCCTCTTTTCTCATCTATTTAAAATGAAGATAATACTACCCATCTATCACATATACTGTTACAAGGATAAGAACTTCGTTAAAGAAAAGTCAGTTGTAAACAAAAGTGTGAGCTGTATACAGAAAATAACACTTAATATTGGTTATTATATTTACCTTTACGTCATTATTTCCTACAGCAATTCCTATTTCTGCAAGGTCTTTTAGTAAAGATGCCATCATCTCAGCTGCTCGTTTTTTCTGGTGGTTAGTCATTTCCTTAAGTTTCTGAAGCTCAGCATCTATACTTGCTAAAGTTGCCTAGTAGATCAAAAAATAAACAGTATAAATATATTAAATGAAAGATTAATGCAAATATTGACAGGCATTTCAAGTTTTCACTTAATATTCACAAAATTATTATTTTTGCTTTCATTTTCTTGAACTATCTTGCTCTAGAATTGCTCCCAGTTCAAACTTAAAAATATTTCAGACCTAACAGACAATGTAAAGTTGCTATACTGTTCTCCACGAAGAGTGGCAGTTTGTATTACTTCACTAATTATTGAGATTGGGTAATGTTTTCAGCCTTGAAATGGGAAACTTCCAAATTAATTAGATTCAATTTTCGTTTACTGCCATAAGTCTGAGCAGCTTAATGTTAGAATGGAACTGACAATTTTCTACATGGTTGGTGTAGTTCCTTTACCATCTGTAATACCTACTTAGGTAATTTGTCATTAAGAAAATGTGTACTAAAGTATTAAGAAAGAAAAAAATGGTATCTCACTGATTTTTGATTCAGTTCATCACTAAGCAATTCATATTCCTTAGTTTTGTCTTCAACTTCCTGAGACTTCTGATCATAATTGACAGCAAGTTCCTCTAAGGCTTGCAAAACTTCCTTTACTTCTTCTTTAGAGGCATCGTTTTCTGCTTGAAGGCGATTCAGCTCAGCTTGCATATTATCCTGATCCCTTCTGGTAGACGCCAGAAGCTATGTGGAAAAGCAAAATTACCAAAAGCCTACAGGTTATATTAAAAAAAAAAAAAACTATTTGATAAGCATAAAGGGGAAGAAACGTGGATGCTATTAAGTGTGGTAACAGTAATTAACTCAACATATTTATTGAACATCTACTACATGCAGGAACGGTGGCTAGACATTGCTGGAGACAAGAAGGAAATCAAATAAAGACTTTGTCACGGAGGAATCTAAGAAGACAACTAGATAAATAAATAGAGTACAAGATGAAATGTAACAGCCATAAAGGAGAGAGCGAGCATGACAGAGTGCTTGGTAGTATAAAAGTGGGGGGTAGGGAGGTATATTTCTGCAGGGAAAGCAGAGGGAATAGAGAATGTGCCTAGGATAAGTAGATATTAAGTACAAAGTAATGTAACAGACAAAGACATTCTAGACTCATGAATACAGTGCACAGAGAAAGAAAAATCAATACATATTTAGAAAATTTTCTTTAAAGTTTAGATTTTTGAGGGGCAACAAGGGGTGACTTCTGAATTATGCCTCAGGAAAACTTAGTATCATCATATAAAATCTGAACTGGCAAGATGCCAAGAGAGTAGTAGTTAGAAGGACACTGTGTGGGAGTATTAATAATAGGGCAGAATGTTAATGGTCCTTAGAGGCAGGATCCAGGGATGATACGTATACTGAAATGCACAGGACAGGAAAATACAATGAAGAATTAGGCAAATGTTACCTGTGCCCCTTTAAGAAAGAATGCTATAGTTGGAATAAACAGAAAGATGATCTGACTAATGGTGGGTATCTTTTCTTCTTGAAACTGTACAGTCTTTGCCACTCTCACACAAAACAAACCTTAAATGAAGGACTGTTGTTGTCTCCCTGTTTTGCAGGTGAGATAAAATAAGCATCCAAGCTAGGTGACAAACTATGGAGGAGAAACACTGAAGTAAAGATGGCAAAAATGAACAAGTAAGATGAGGGTAGGAATGTGAAGAAGGAATATAAATTGATTTTATTCATTGACAAATGTATGTTAAAGAGTATGCATTTTCAAAAAGTTCTCCTCTCCCCTCCAGTTAGAACTCAACCATAAATCTTAAAAGGAAGTCAATCTGTGCTTCAACCCATATGATCTATCAATCTCACAGTGCATCCACAATGAAACGTGCACATGTTCAAAAAATTTTGAAAGTACCCTAGTATGTTCTGAGTTCTGTAGATTCCTTCATCTTTTATGTTTTTCTGGAAATAATATGAAAAATATACAACTACCTCTTCCTGATTCAACATTCTTGTTATCAATTTCAATGACAAATTATAAAGCTTTGCTGGGAATAATATGAATGGTATTCAACTTACCTCTTCTTGATCCAACATTTGTGTCTTCAATTTCTCTACCAACTGGCTCTGTTGATTAATTTCCTCATCCTAGAATTTTAATGTAACAAGTAGCTTACAACCTGGTTGTAACTGTTTCCTAACATATAGTATATAAGATAACTATACCCCCCCCCAAATATTTCAAAAGCATTTCTCCAAATTCAACACAGCTTATTCCAATCTCTTATGAAAATGCTGAAACAAATGTAATCTCTTTCAGTTATCAATAATTGTAACACCGTGCACTAAGAAAAAAGGGCTATAAACATTTATCATGCAATAATAAAAAAAAACTATTCATTAAATATTTTAAATGAAAAACAGTAACATTCAAAGCTATTACTGAAAATAATAGCCATGTAGCCCTTCAAACTTGCCACTTCTCTGCTTAAAATACATAAAAATACCACCTAAAAACAAAAACAAAACTAGAACTATTTTCTTCTAGTCTCTTTACCACTTTTATTTTTCCCTTCTTCTCTATGTGGTTCATAATTTGCTATTTTTCACACTGCTGACTGATATAATCAATGCAGGAAGATATTTTCACTCTATTCTGTTCTACTATCTAATCTCTTACCTCATCTTATTAGTCTTCAGATCCCTGATTCTAAGAGGTAATTTCCATAAGTCTCTCCAAGGACTCAATGCCAAGTTTCCTTTAGAAAGTTTTTTTTAGCTTAAAAATGAGGAGGGAAAAAGACATGCCCCATACAGTTTCCTCACTGAAACAGACATTGTGATTTTCTATTTTTTGTGTTTTGTAAATACAATGATTTTCCAAAAGGCTAACAAAAATCAAGGCAGATGTATATAGGTCATAGAGAACAATAATATTAAAATTTGAAAAAAAAATTAATATTCTAGAACAAAATAGAACATGAACAGTATCTACCTTGTCATCAAGTTGTTTGTACAATTTAGCAATTTCTTCTTCACACTTTCTTCTTTCAGCATCAGTAAAGTTTCCAGTAACTCCAATTGTGGCTGCTGGTTTATCATTGCTAACAGCAGTATCCTTATCCACTGCAAAAGCTTCCAAGTTGGCTTTATCTTTGTCAAACTGTTCATCAATAGGCACTGTCTCTCCTAAAATGAGACAACAGAATGATTAATAAAAATTCACCTGTCTAAAATTAATCTCAGTTTTATTCAATTTCCGCAGCTTCCTACCAACTTCCTTATGTGCTTAGTCCCTGGGATTTGAAAAGTTGTAATTACCTTTGACTCTCCCCCATCTTCTAAATCCAGTCATCAAATCTTTATTTCTACCCTAATATATGCACCTTGCCATCTTGTGACTTTTATAGCTTCCAAGTTGGCTTTTGTGCCTCATTTATTATTTCAGGTAAAATCACAATTTAATGTAAAAGACTTTATTCATTTTTATTTGATGACCCCTAATGCTTAAAGTGAAAATGGATGTGTTATTTTATTAATATTCATACCTGAATCTCAAATTTATAAAATAGCTCCAAATCTGTATTCAACAACTAAAAATCACAAATTTTTAAGTTATTACCATTACGCCATCTGTTGAGTTCGTTCTCAAGCCACTGAATGGTGTTCCGCAGGGTCTTATTTTTTTCTTTTTCTCTTTCATACTTCTTTTTCCATTGTTCTGCAGTCAATTCAACATTGACACAAACTGTGTTCTTAATTGTTTTGGCCCTAAGAGATGTGATTGGGGAAAAAGAAGTGACTGAAATTGTTTTCAACTAATATCTAATCTTTCTAGTAGATATAACATGGCAAAGTAATTTAATTTAACTATTCTTGTCTAGTTAACTCTGACTAAATACTGAGAGTTTTAATTATTATAGTGCTTTTTCACACCCCAACTAAATTCGGGTCAGCTCCAATATCTGTGAATAGCTTAAAAAAAAATCAACCCGATGAGGAAAAAACACAAGGGCCTATATTTTCCAATTCCTTTGCCAAGTTGAATTAAGAAAACAAATCATTCTTGAAAGTAAGAAATAAAGCCATCATTATTTCCTAGGCTAACCATCTCATACAAGATTACTTGAACCCTGTCACTTATGCCAACAGGTTTAACATAGAATTATGTATTTCAGACTTGTACTGTACCTGACTCAAATGATGATTTTCCTTAGGGCTAAATTAAAGCTTCTCACATACATTTGACTACAGTTAACATTTGACTTTAATGTTTACTAAAACTTAATTCAAATCTAAGCAATCTAAAAAAACTAACCTTACTTGTACTGTCTCAATTTAAAAGTTGTGTCTAGCACACTAACGATATGGACTGATCTGAATACTATCTACCTGACATTGTCCTAGATTTAGTGAGCAAAAGGCCTATCTATGTTCAGACTTTGTATTTTCTCAACAACAAACCTTTGCCCAAAAAGGAGTGTAGATTTTGTTTCAGATTCATTGTACGATGATGGAGAGCAGCAAATGACAATAGTGGTTCTACAGTTCCCGCCTAATGAATCTTGAAGGATTCTTGTCATTTTACTATCTCGATATGGAACATAGGTCTATATACAAAGAAAAGAAACAAAGAAAACCAATGGGCTTCTACATAATAAAATCTGTTATATGTTATTTAAAAAAAACTACGAAGTGATTTGTTTTTTTAATATTAAAATGGAAACTATACATACTAGTACCATAAAATAAATTTCTAGAAGACAACAGATTCACCTATATTGATTCAAAAACAGTGAATCTCTCACTCACTCACACATCTAAGCACATAAACAAACATTTAAGTAATTCTCCATATGATAAGAACAGGGAAATAGAAGACATGTATACTTACACTACCCTCAGCCAAAGCAGAAATAACATTTCCAAGAGCAGAAAGTGACTTGTTGATGTTCTTAGCTTCATCTAGCACAGCACCTTCAGCTCCAGTTTTACTAACCTATACATAAGGTTTCAAAAAAATTCTAAATTTAAGATGATTTTATTTGAATTTTCTAAAAAGTTCAGAAGTCATCAATCACCAGTAAAAGAGAAAATGAAAAGCTTCATGACATTAGTTGCCAAGTGCTTACTCTCAGATAACACTCAAATATTATTACTTTGAGAACTTGACTATGTAACTATCTGCATGACAAGACTGTAATTAAGGAGACACCAAATTGTATTTTTAGTTTGTGCTCTTCTTCATAACCAATTTATATATATGTATTTATAGTTTACTGATTTTTAAAAAAGATTTTATTTGTTTATTTTTTGAAAGAGGGGAAGGGAGGGAGGAAGAAGAGAAACATCAATGTGCAAGATCTACATCTATTGGTTGCCTCTCGCACATCCCCAAGTGGGGACCTGGCCTACAAGTGAAACGTACCCTGACTGGGAACCAAACCAGCAACCCTTTGGTTCGCAGGCTGGCACTCAATCCACTGAGCCACACCAGCCAGAGCTACAGTTTGCTCATTTCGGAGCAATTTTTTTTGCTAGATTAGAAAAGAGGACTCTTTTTAAAATTTGCCAGAGCATGCCCTGGCTCTAAGCAGAAAGCAGAAAAGACTAATGGACAGTTACCAGTTTTCATAGATAGCTTTTTTCCAATATGGATAAAAAGATGTCAAAAATTGGTGGGAATAACTATAAAATGTATAATGACATAAGTTGAGAATGTTCTCAGTAAAAACATACATCTTAAGCCAATGGTAACACCTATTGGATGAACTGGACTATGGTCTAAATTATGCAATCGTAAAGCACTGACATCAATGCTTGCAACTTTCAAAAATACTTTAGATATATGTAAAGATTTTACCTTTTCACTACCAGCTAAGTCAACCAGATAAAGTTTTCCACTCAGCTTTTGCTCCGTTTGTGTGTTCTCTTGTTTTACATTAATAAGAAATATACTGTGACTCCTAGAGCTATGTTCATTCATATCTGCAATGAAATTATAAAAACAACTATAAACAGACATGGCTTTCCTTTATTAATAATTTCTATGGCATTATTTAACATAAAAATTTCACAATCACCTTGATAAAGATGATTTAAGGTAGTTTTGTACCTTAACTAGTGTTAATAAATATTCGACTTACTTGTAACTGCTACATGTCTGTTGGATTTTCCTTCATCTATGGTATCCATAACTTCATCTGGACTACATACAAAACGCTCTGTGCATCCCTGTAAAATAATTTTATTTAAGTATGTTGATATCCTTACAATTTTTATTTCAGGGCTTTACTAAATAATCATTCTATATTATTTAATTAGTACCTTTACATAGGGGACTCGGTTTTTATCTTCATGAACTGAAAGGTTGGTCTTTGAAACTGAAAAGGAAAAGGAATAATATTAGCAACATCTCCCTAAACTCCAACACTGGCTGTGGAACTCAATTGTTTCCTTTCCAAAGCAGCCTGGTAACAATAGGTAAAATTTTAAATACATGAAAACATCATTAGGTGCCCAGCTAACTCCGTTGGTAGAGCATTAAGACTCTTAAAAATATGAAAACATCACTATTAAAATAAGACCCCTAGAAATAGTAGGAGATTTACATAGAAACCAACGTAGCAGTATAGAATTTTAGATCCAGTCCAAACTCTATCATCCACATTTTGGAAATAAAAACATTAGGCCAGTGTGATTCAATGGTTTGCCCCAAAACAACGTATCTAATTGACAGCTGATAGAAGACCAGAATTCAGGACTGAGGTTTTCTAACTACAGTTCAATGTTCTAATTAGTACTTAAGAAGCACTGAATAATATCTACTTTAAGTTAGTTACTCCACGTGTCAAAAGATATTCAACTAAAACTTTAGAAGAAAAGTCTTTTAATATCTGTTTCCTAGACCAAAAGGCAAGAATTTAACTTACCATCTAAAAGGTCCCTTATCTTATCCAAATAAATTTCAAAATATGAAACCTAAAAGGCAAAGAAATAAAGGAAAAAAGATCAATCAATTAAAAATATAAAGCAATTTATTTACTTATTAAATAGTTACTGGGGTCTGAATGCCAGACACCATCTACACTAGGGGAACAGAATTATTAACAACTCAGCCGTAGTTTATACTCTAACCAATAGAGCTAAATTCACCAAACTGCTAGTTTAACTAAAAAGCAATTTCCATTAAATATCTTCATCTAAAATGAATTTGACTAGTAAGAATAGTAGGAACCTAAAGTTCCATAGTAAAACAAACAACTTTATTTTTCAAAGAAGGAAGATCAGGCAAAAAAGACTTGGGTAACTGTTTAAGGTCATCTAATGGCAGATGAAGAATCCAAGTTTACTAACTCTAATGATCTTTAACTGTATCAGTCCATAAAATAATTCTCAAAATATTTTAAAAGGAAATTAGCATTTATTATACTTGTAACAGAATTATTCTAGGTATAAAAAAATACATAACCTTTCCCCAAGAATTTTACCTTAATATGAAATTCCAAATTTTCATCCATGGAATAAATATAATTAAAAATATCTTGAACTATTCTTGGAATAATTCCCATGCCTTCTGGATCATGAAGTTTTCCCTAAACAGAAAACAAAACTAGACTTCTTAAATAAACTGTAAAGTATGAATTAAAATTCAAAACTTTCGATGTATAACTTACAGTCAATAAAGAATTGGAATTGGAGAATTGCCATTTTTGGTGAAAATGGCTCTACAAGTATCTAAAATACCCAACTATTACACATTTTGGTAAGTTACATATTAAATACTATATATAAGCACATATAAAAACTTTGGCAAGTTACATGTAAGTACTACATAACTACATGGGTTACCAACTAATCTTGGCTTTTTATTTAATCATTAGATTTAGATTATCTATCCATGTTTGTAAATGAACTATTCCAGAAGAAGGTTTTCGCTTCTTTCCTTATAAATCTGCATTGTTCCTTCCTACTTCAAGTCAAATTCACGCAGATGCTAGGAATGTCCTTGTTCTTGGATATTGTGAAAATGAGTTAAGAAAATTTAAAAAGCTGTCCTTTACTTTATATAGAAAACTCAGATATATGATAAAAGTAGATGCTCAGCTGCAGTGGTAAAAGTTTTCTAGAGGCAAAGCTCAAACAGGTCTACACCTATTATTAATTCTTACCAGAGAAGAATGGCAGTTTAGGGGGGAAGGAGAGACCAAAGAAAAGAGTAAGAAATTCACTGATCTTAATAAAATTGAAAACACACATTCAAATATTTCCCATTATAACATGATAGAAAATTCCTTTTTAATTCTAAAATGCTTATATTTTGTGGTTAGGCTGATAATGCTAGATATGATTTAAAATACGTGATTTCACTATTCAAAGTCAAGAAATGATTAGATTCCAACAATGAAGTTACTTGTGTATTATTCACATGAGAGAAAGCAAAGAATAGAGTAAATAAACATGTTTAAGCATGGTAAAATAATTTCACAAATGACTGAATTTACTGTCTGTACTGTGAACTACATTCAGGTTCAGATTATGTAATTTTACCTCCATTGTATGTGTCTTCCCAGAGGATGTCTGTCCATATGCAAATATTGTTCCATTGTATCCCTCAAGTACATCTATAAGAAAGTAAGAGATTTTATATTTGAGGGGATTCTTTTCCTTAAACAAGATTCCTAAGAAATTAAGAATGTTAGAAAACACTCTAAAAAAATTCTCACACACATAACCCAGTTCCTTATCCATACATAACCATAATAAAATATTTGTGGGAAGAACAGATTGTCATTACACTACTATGAAAGAGTCCATCAAAGTCAAAATTTAGTACATGATTTATGAAAACATTAAGGAAAATAATGTATTTAATAGTAATTTTCTTAGTGATGATCCAATGATCCATCTCAGCAATTACTACCTCTCTAGCCCAGATTACTTTCTGTGGTTAAAAAGAAACAAATTTTAAATTCTGTTGCTTATACTTATCAGTTATGCCCATGTACATCTCAAATGTCATTACATCTATATTCTAAAGCTTTATATGACCTAAAAGAAAAAAATGTTCCACCAATTTACATACAGATATCAATTAACTTTAGAAATAGAACTACTGATTGGTGGTTAACTGGTGGTTAAATTTCACAAAGTATATCACAAGCCCAGTTCTACTTCAGAATCAATTATTAGAAAATTTCTCATGAAATTAAAAAAAAATCTTTTCTAGTCTTTTCTGTACCCCAAAATCTACTGTTAACATTATGTACCTTCCTTTACTACATCGAAGCGATAAAAAGAGTATGAATGAACAAGAAAGGTGACCTTTCGATTTCCAAGTTTTCAGGGATTCAGTTTGTTCTGTTTTGACTTTGGTGACAAGAAAAGTATTATGAAATTACATTCTACTCTAAAGGAAGCCTAAGTAAAGACAGAAGTTTCTGTTGGAAATAGGAGATAGTAAGAGCAAAAAAGTCAATTAGTAAGCAAGTTAATTCCTGTTTTTTCCAATTGATCTTTTTAAATGGGGAAAAAAACCCTATCCCAACATTGGGTGCAACTAACTAGGTAATAGATTTCCTACAGAAACATTTATTAATAAAAAAAAGGCGGCATCAGTATGTATTTCCCTGATAAAAATTTAACAGACTTCAAACATTTAGAACTTTCTCTCAAAATTGTTTAAGAAGGAAAACAAACTAAACTCAAGAATACATTTAAAATAGATGGAGCTGCAGTTATTTCTGTCAGAAACTCTGAAGGAGAAATCATCTGGAAAAAAAGCACTAGACCCTTCGATTCATTTCCTTCATATATGTGTATATATATAGTCTTTTTCGGCATGGCTATGTCACACCCTCTGCCTAAGATCTTTTAAATCAATCACATAAAACCTAACCTTAAGTTCCAAAATTTTTTAGATCTATAAAAGGTCCATTCATGATATGATCCAATTAAATAGCAACTACCACAACAGGTAGTTAATATTTGTGGGTAAATGAATAAGTGACTTTCCCAAGAACACCTTAGTAGCCTATGTCTAAATGATGTTATAGTACATGTGTGTTATGTGAAACTATGTAATACAAGTGCTCCTAGGACAGTAAATGTATATAGCACATTTGTATCTGGGACTAGCAGAATTTTATATGATTACAGAGATTAGGAAATACTCAACATTCAAATACTTATTGAGCACCTGCCATGACCTCAGCTCTTCTCTGGGCGCAGGGGATATTGCAGTGATTTCTAAATATGCCATGCATCACTCCAAGTAATAAATTTTATATCAAATAAGAAAATAACCACTTTTTTTTAACCTAATTTAATATGTATTCATGACTTTGCTTTCTATAGTGATTTAACTCCTAATATTTTATCTTAAAAGAATCTAAACACTGAATGAACTTCACAGTGTATGTGCCTATATAATCATAACCAGGATTCCGCCATTAACATTTTATTATTTTACTGCTTGCTTCAATCATGTAACCAGCCTTCTATCTTACTTTTCAATGTATTTCAAAGTAAAACGCAGACTTCAATACATTTCCACTAAAATACTTAGGTTTACATATACCATTAACTAGAATTCAATATTTTAGAGTTTCAGTCCTCTGAGGTAAAATTTATACAGAATGAAACATACATTATCTTAAGTATGGATTTAAAAAATACAAATAATACTTGTCTATTTGATAATCCTAGAGAGTACCCATCTGTATTCAGATAAAATTAGGCGCTTTTTGACCTGGCTCGTTTACTTTTTCAGCTCCATCTCTCACCATCCTTCCCCTCACATTGCTGTTTTTGTTTGTAAAAATGGTCAAATCTGATAATTCCATACAGTTCAATTTCACAGTTGCACCATAATGGATGGTGCTCCCTACACATATGATACTCTTCATATGGACATGCATTAGCTCATGTGTCCTCTCTTTGTCTGGAAGGCAAACCTTCCTCTCCCTACTCTTTATGCATCCTTTAAGACTAGGTTCAGGCTTTACTCCTTCCTCCAACACAACTCTACACCCCTCCCCCCCACAAATAAATGTGATTAAGAGTTCCATTCTACATGTTCTTACAGTACCTGATTTAGTCATAATACTTATTGCTGTGTACTGCAACTGTCAATTTACTTGTCTGCCTTCCTCACCAGGCTGTGTGAAACTCCATGAGGCCTGCCTGCGTTTAACTCCTAACACAGCAGCTGGCACTTAGTAGGAACTCAAATGTTTGCTGAATGATTATCATCATCACTAACACACAGCGCCTTTCTAAAGCCTCCCTCACCTTTTTAAATATACTTTTGCTGTTCTTGTGAGAAACAGAAGTGGACATCTACAGACAAATGTTACTTTTGTCGTACTCTGCCAACAAGAAAAACATAGTTAGTGAGAAAATAGCACATCACTTTCTGAAAATAGCCTAATCTTTCATCTGAACTTTAGCTCCTCATTAGCAAAATGTTTCCTTAGGGGACAACTGTAAGAATTAAAAGTCACCATATAAAATTATTAATGTTAACATTTAAAGTGTATAATATGTCAGACTCTAATAATTTTTCATATAGTAATGTATTTAATCCTTATTAAAACTGTGCAAAGTACTATTTTTAGTTAATCTCATTTTATGGAAGCACAGAGAGATTAAATAACTTGCCTATATATCCACAACCATTAAGATGGAGCTGGGGTACAAACCCAGACAGTTTCTTAATCACTCAAGACATGCTCTCAACCACTACACTATATTATCAAGTATCTCAAGAACTTATGTAAGTATCTGGCAGGCTACATCTGAAAAATTGAATGTGCATTCAGGGTTAGACAATCCACATCAGGAGACTGTGATAGGAAACTGGTGAATCCATGAACGAACGCCTGGAATATAGCAAGTACTGAATACTGGGGAAACAAAACTTGCAGACAACACTCAGATTCTGAATTCAAAAGAGAACACAAATTGGTAAGCCTTGTTCAAAAAAAAAAATTTATCTAATGAATCCACAAGTTATATACATATCAAGAAAGTGATGGAACAATGCAACCTCAGTGGAGTGTCAAGGGTGTAGAGATTGATTACTAGCAGCTTTCAGGTCATTCCTGGTAACTTGCTCACCAACTCTACAACTCGGATGACATACCAAATGGCCCATCATTTTGCCAATCCTTGTCTACCAACAGTTACTAACCATGGCCTTCCACTAATTTATTCACCAATGACTATCCCAAGTTCAATCTACCGTGTATTTAATTGGTTTACCATCCTCACATCTCACCAGACACTCACCGTTTATCCCTACCCCATCTTTCTCTTTATATCTATGTATTTAGTTGATAACTATGTCATAATCATATCCTTGCTCAGGACAAGGAACATAAGCTACTATATCCAGGCTCCTCCAAAATAATACAGAGCATTTGGGTGAAGAGGAAAAAATCATAGCCAGGTGATACCTTTCTAATATAAATTACAAAGCAGGCATACAAACTAGAAAGTGACAGAAAGTTTCTATTGTAACAAATGCTTGAAGTGTAATTTTTTAGAGTAAAACATCCTAGGTTATAAGTTATCCGAAGTACAATTATGGTTGATTAAATTAAGAAAAATAATTTTCCTTCTCAGGAGATAGAGGAAACAAGTAAATTTAGAATTTTGTTTTTAAGAATTGGTGTTTTTATTACCTTGAAAGTAGAATTGCTGAATTATATGATAGTTCTAATTATTTTTTCTTTCTTTATTTTTAAATACATTTGTCTCTGCCTCCCCCCACCAGTTTCCATTGCCCCCTCCCTCCATCCCCCCCTCAGCTCTTCCCCTTTGGTTTTGTCCATGAGTTCTTGCTATATGTTCCTTGACGTTCCCCTTCCCTTCCCTTTCCCTGCCCGCCCCTCCCTCCTTCCCTCTTGTCTCTGTTGGTTTCTTTTCCTTTCAGTGTTGCTGGTCATATTTTCCTTGCATCTTTGTATTGTTGGTTAGGTTCCGCTTATAGGTGAGATCATATGGTATTTGTCTTTCGCCCCCTGGCTTATTTCGCTTAGCATAATGCTCTCCAGTTCCATCCATGCTGTCGCGAAGTTTAGTAGTTCTTTTTTCCTTTCTGCTGCGTAGTATTCCATTGTGTATATGTACCATCATTTTTTGATCCAATCATCTACTGATGGACACTTAGGTTGCTTCCAACACTTGGCTATTGTAAATTGTGCTGCTATGAACATTGGGGTGCATAGGTTCTTTTGTATTGGCGTTTTGGTGTTCTTAGGGTATAGTCCCAGCAGGGGAATCACTGGATCAAAAGGCACTTCCACTTTCAGCTTTTTGAGGAAACTCCACACCGCCTTCCACAGTGGCTGTACCAGTCTGCATTCCCACCAACAGTGGACTAGGGTTCCCTTTTCTCCAGAGCCTCGCCAGCACCTGTTGTTTATGGATCTGTTTATGATGGCCATTCTGACCGGTGTGAGGTGGTACCTCACTGTGGTTTTGATCTGCATTTCTCTGATGGCTAGTGATGCTGAGCATTTTAAATTTAGAAATTTTAAACAACAAAATTTAGAAATATATACAACATTGAGGATAAATGCTAACCATTTTGCACAAGGTTGTTCACTGCAGGCCTGCC